AAAAAAAAAAAAAAAAAAAAAAAAAAAAAAAGAAATATGTAAACCCCAAATGCTCCTCTCAAGAAAGTTCCTTTGCGCACAAACAAAAATTAATTAATTAAAAGGGTATCCCAACTCTATAAACAGAATAAGTTGACTCTATATGGAAAAGTCTGGGTTTATCTGCTGATTTTACCTATCTCTGAGGATTATTTCCCCCAAATCTATTGAACTCCCCCCCAAAACAAGTAAGTATCAAGTCCAATATAGACTTTTAAAACATGTCATAAATGGCATTTGAAGATCTTATCCGAGCAAATCAAGAAAATTGAGGGACAGTATAAAGGAAATCTGCATCTGAGTTATTTTTAATCATTGTAAGAAAAGCGATCTGGCAAAAGCCAATTGGCTTATATTGATTTCAAAAATCATTTTCTATATTAAAATGCTCTAAATACAAATTAGCTTTCTTTGCTCAATATTTATTATTGTTTCACTTGCCTTGAAATAACATGAGTCGAAGTCCTTATATATATCATTTCCCTTGGAAGATCAGCTCATTGATGCATAAAATGAAAAAGAAGACGTGTGTGTGTGTGTGTGTGCGCGTGTAGGAAGGGTGGAGAGGGAAGATTCTCCATTTTTTTCTCCATTTTTAAAGTCTATGAGAAAACATTACTTAATCTGACCCACTACTAAATATAAAAAGTCAGTGCCCTATAAATACCTATAAATACATGTGACTTTGTAACAGACCCAAATGCTCATTTATGCCTTTTTATAGTGGAATACCAGACAGACGGCAATAACAAAAAGATTTCCCATTCTTTTATTAATATAACCTTCTGAAATTAAGCTTTCCACCAAATGGAAACCACAATAAATATTACTTTTAAAATCTACGCACAATTTCATCCTCTACTGGTGGCAGAAGTATCATTTTACAACTTCTGATGATGGCTTTGATAAAAGTCATTTAAAAATAGCTACAAATTACTTAGAAGAAATCATGGCCTGTAAGTGTATAGTTTTCAAAATACATCACAAAACAGAAATTGGGCATTTTTCAGGGGACACGGGTCTCTTCTTTTCTCCCTCTTCCCTTTTCCCTTAGAAATTGTTTTTAAGTGAGGAAAGAAAATAATGTTCAGGGAATTCCCTGGCGGTCCAGTGGTTAAGACTCAGTGCTTTCACTGCCAGGGCCCAGGTTCAATCCCTGGTCGGGGAAACCAAGATCCCACAAGCCACGTGGCGTGGCAAATTAATAATAATAATAGTAATGTTCAAAATAAAAAGGAGGGGGGACAACCTTGTCACTAAATTCCTGCAACTGAACCAGACAAGGAAAGGTTTTTCAAGAAAAGGAAAAAATCCACAAATGAGATGGGGAGGACGTCTGAGAACTGAATTGGGATCCAGTTTTATGGGATCTGACGTGAAACAGCCTATAAATAAAGATGAAACTAAAACAACCCTGGGCAAAATCAAAGGATGAATGTGTAACACGTAATCTAGCCCAGCAAGAAA